TACATAGATTGAGGGATGGGGGGAAAGCCCTTTACCAGTCCCTCAGAGTATAGGCAAAATGTGTCTACATTGCATTATTACCTAGCACCTAGGCTTCTAACAGCACTTTTAGCCTTCCACAGCCTTACAGTACACTGAGAAAATATACACCTTGATACACCTTGAATCTCTTGCCTGACAGGCTTTCCCATTAGGAGCTTTCTGTTCTCCTTTCTCTGCTCCCAGCTAGGCCTTTTTTTTTTTTTTTTTTTTCCGAAAAAGGATTCCATTCTCTCCATTGGTTACGCTTGGCTCCCAAATCAGGGAGACCTGATCAGGGAGACCATCATCTCATAGGAACTTCAAAAAGTTAGGCAACCAGTTCAAGCAATGATCATCCGACACCCCTACTACATTCTCCAATCTGCATCCTGCCTCATCCTATTCTGCTAAACACCTTCCACGTTGCTTTTGCTCTCCTACATAAACCTTGAAAGAGCTACCCACTCTCCTATATTGTGCCTCTTTCTTTACTTATCCCCACAACACTCGCATATTACCTCATCTTTCAAATAGATTCATCCCCCTTTTGGATTCTCCTTGTTTGACTGGAAATGTTTTACTGACTCACCGCATACCAGGCAGTGACCTGTCAGCTGTGAGATGTGACTTCTGTAGCTCTGGTGCTGACGTTGGTTAAGTGTTTCCCTATTTCTTCTTTCATCATGTCGCTGCTGGAATTTCAGAAGACAACAGCTATTGCACTCAGCACAGTTAAGACTAGATCTTGGTTAAGACATTAAAAGTGACAGTATTAGAAATATTACGACAAACGACTCAATGCTGATGTTGTATTGCATTATTACTCTTGCTCAGCCAAGGAATTTCAGTTTGTTGCTTCCTTGCCCCAAGTTACCAAGGAAGAGCTACTGCAAAACAGGAATCCAGTTCTAAACTGACATTTGACATGGTTCATTTCACAACATTAAACGCTGCAGACAGATAACTCTATTTACACTGTTTCCACAAAAGTTATAGTGCAGTTTCCATAGCTGTTGGTAAAGACAAAGATTCTCTTACGAGGATCACGGTAGCCAGACTGCAACAGACATCACCAGAGGTAGCTTGGAGGCTGTTTTATCAAATATACAAATGGTTTCTACACACACAAATTAGGAAAGCTCTGCCAGCAAGCAGCTAACACGAGGAGGTCTAATCACAGTTGCTGCAGAAAGTTTCTGTCTTGGAAAAAAAAAAAAAACTCTCTGAAAAACAGCCTTTTCAGAAAGAGGGTTACCAGGTTTGAGGAAAAATATCAGTCCTTTTCTGCTCCTGTGTGCTCTCGCAACACATAGTCCCTTCACAACAAGAGCACCAGGAGAAGGATGAGCTCCTCTTTTGTTCTGTGCTGCACGGACGCTGAGCACACAGAGCTCCTTCAGCTCAGCAGCTATTTGAGGGGTAGCTACTGTATACTCCTAGACGATGTTCAGGCACAGACATAACTTATGATTTATCCATAACATGTCTACATTCTACAGAAGTGTTTCTTGCATTAGAGATGACACACCAGAGATCACTGTCGGGGCACTAAGTGCACCAAAAGGCCTGCGTGCCCCTCACTACCCTTCCTGGGATTTTTGCCCATGTCCCTTGTCCATGGGCCAAGGAGCTCTGTTTAAGATCAGCTCAGGGCCTCAGTCCTTGCCCAAACTATGTGACAGGTACAAATATCTGCAGTGCCACCTCCTGAGAGGAACTCAGACTTAGGTCTTAAGTTACAGACACACGTGTTCCCAGTCCTGTCCCTTGGAGGAGAGACTTCTTGTTATAGGTAGCTTCTCTCTTGTACTGGCTCCTGGATGGACACCTTGGACTTGTATCATAGCCTTGTCTCCAGCTCCACTTCCCAGGTGCCAGACTGGACATGCTGGATGCATCCTGGACCCAGCAGATTATTCTCCCTTGCATGGGACTGTCACTAGAGCCTAGCACAAGCACCCTGCTCTGTTCACCATGTTCAGATGATGTCATGTGTCCTTGTCCACAGCAGCATGCAAATGGTGTTTAGCCAGGGATGAGACATGATGCAAGACACCCAATGGTCCACTTACAATGAAAAGATACCAAGAGAAACAAATCAGAGTGTATTTGTAGAAAAAAAAAATGAAGATCACTCTTAACCCTTTTTTTCCTCTTGCATAACATACACAAAAATTATTTCCTTTTACGCATAAGGCCACCTAGTAATTAACCCTGTTACCTCTACTGTAATTAATTTGCATAACCCCCAAAACACAGATCAGCAGCTTTCCTTGGCCTCTTACAGAAGGGCTGTTGGGCTCTGACACTGTAGTTAATGGAACAGCTTGGACAGAAAATCAGTAATCAGACACAGTTCCAGTTCTTCCAAGCACACATAGCTGGCATCTCTGCTTAATTTTTCTTTAATCAGCATAATATTTTATCTGAACACAGCAACCAGGGATAAATTACTTAAAAAAAAAAAAGTTTAAGATATCCCAAAAAACTAATTTAGCCCCATCTAAAGAGAGTACCATGATCTTGTACCATGTTTCACTCACAGATTTAACTATTCACCTGCCAATAAACTGAGAACTGAAATGTCTCAGGTAAGTTAAACTGTTTGGAAATAAAACACTACATAACAGTCCAGGCAAAGAACAGAACAACACTTTGACAAATGCCAAGCTTCAATTAAACAGATATGTATAGAAAGAGAGAAGGAAAGCAGAAGGTAAAAGACGCAACAACTACTATTAAATAGCACTTAAGCGCGCCTCTGGCACCAGCCTCTTGGCGCA